TCACGATCTGTGCTCATCTAACTTCTTTTCCTCATACCTTGCACGAGCCACCTCTGCGGCATGTTCCTCGCTACATCCAATTTCTTCATGTATAAAATGCAATCAGTTAGCAACGCGATTATATTACATTTAAAACCAGGCAACGAAAAAAGCTTTCAAGCACTCACTGGAACATAATGCAACAACATGCTCGTTCAAGACCTGCATCTGTACTCTTGTCTCCTCCCTTGCCTCCTTTGCCCTCTCCTTCTCTAACGTCAACCGTCTCTTCAATCCCCATTTGTCAAGCCCAACATCGATCGGGTTATAAATACCACGCTGTTTAGCAAACCCACTTATCTTTTCTTTGTGATGTTTAACGAATAGGTTGACGTAGTCAGGTCTATATCCCCTCTTCCGTGCTATTACTTGTCTCCCCTTCAGTTCATCCACGAACTTAGCTTGACCATCATAACATTCCCATCTATATTTTCTAGTGCTCTGTTCAAACAAAAAATTATATCATATATGTCTTAGCAAAAGAAACAAAATACGATTTTATGTTTACCAAAAAAATAACCAACCTCATCATAATCAATCATATGGCCGCAATAATAGCCTATTCTAAGCTCCGAAGGGACTAGGTCATAGTTGGATTTAACACCACATTCGCACATGACAGGAGGTGCTTTGTAAATTATCCTTTCTTTCTTCTTTTTCTTAACCTTTCACGGTTCTTCCGGCCATTGGTTCTTAGGACCATACAACCACTCCTTGAAACGACACTTCGCCATTGAAAACACTTAAATAAGGTGACATTAGTACATAAACACATATAGCTTAATATTTCAACACATACACTTTGTACTTACTTTATGCTTGTTTGGACACACAAACTCCAACGTATTTTTAGGGTTTATCACAGCTCAATCTCCGTAATGGTACATAGAAGGTTCCTCGAGTCGTCTAACTACGGCTAGATGCTTCTTCTTAGCTGTCATTGGCGGAGGGTTAGGGGGGTGGAACCCACCGCTTGAAGTGCTCACGTGGTGTCTCTCTCTAAACCAATCATCGAAAAGAAGGTATCTAGGATCAAACTTGTCTGCACCGTCGATCCACTGAAAGAAAAAAGCACCTCTCATGGTCCTACACAACGTGATTCCAACAAAATATTAGTAGCATACTTACACAAATAAAGAAAAAAGATAGTGGAAACAATTTCTTACATTAAAACGACTGCATGTGTAGAAGCACCGCGCCGCTGTGTCCGGATGTTTCGATTGAAAAACGTGGGCCAAGAAACCACAGTCACACAGTTAGAGACAGGGAAGTCAAAAGAGACGGGGGCATCTTTGCTAGACGTGTCGGGGTATAATTCTCGAGGACGACCCCGTTTTCTCCAAAACTCCTCCCGATACATTTCTTACATCTAACAAAACAGATGTAATTTAATAAACAAAAATCAAAACATCACAAATAAATACCAATAAGAACCATAACTACAATACAACCAATTTCGTTCTAAGAACCGAAAGCAATTAACATTAAACCATAAACCATGGGTTTCCCATTTGATGCACAATAATTAACCCATAACATAATTATATGCGCTGCGGTTACCTAGGTTTGCTAGCTTTTTCACGCCTTGGCATCATCCTACGGTTGTATAATACAAATATTGAGGGATAGAATGAAACCCTAAGTAATGACGATTCGTAGGTTGAAAAATCCGATTAATATATACCGAATCGATGCGAAAAAAACTAGAAGGGGAGCGAGGATACCTTGCTCTCGAAGATCTACGGATTAAATCAAAGTTTGCAAGCTCCAATATGCCGATTCGTGAGGTAGGACGAGGTGGGGAGAGAAAAAATCCGAGAGGGATGAGAAAGAAGAGGAAAAAAGCTCAGACAGGAAGGTTGGGGCCGGAGTTAAAACACAAGCTCGGCGCCACTCACACTGGCGCCAAGCTCGTGGCGTCAGGGTGAGTGGCGCCGAGTTTCCTGCCATGTCACCGTCACGTTGGCTTCGAGCCCAAGAGCTGGCGCCGAGACGTGTTACTTCGACGTCAGCAACAATGACGCCGAACTAAGGGTCTTCATTCTGAAATATTTTCTCAAGAGACATATTTGTAATTTTTTTTGAAAAAAAGCTAAAAAATAAAAAATGCGCACCCTACGACGACCCCGAGGATCTTAGCAGCAGTATCACAATCGAGCAAAGTGCCAGGTCCTCGCGACCTCCAGGCTATGCTTTCATGCAGCTGTATCCTGTTGTGCCCGCCCAGATGTTCGAGAAAGATCAACACTCCTACACGAGACACCCGCGCCATGCGGTCCTGCCACGTCCCACCGCTCATCTTGAAGATGGCGATGGCCACCCAGGGTCTCACCACCTGGTGCTGGTCGACTCGGTCGCTCCTTCCCTGCCCACAACCGCAAGCGTGGCCTATCCGCACGGAAAGCACACGGCGGCAGCCACCAGCGTCCCACGCGCCCCACGACCATTCCCAGACCTTTTCCCACACTGACGCCCATCTGACTGAAATCCCAGTGCTCAAAAAACAAAAAAAAATCTGACTGAAATCCCACGGCGGCATTAACCGTGCCAGGGACGTTGGTACTGGGCACTAGGCTGCTGGCAGCGGGGCAAATGTTGTAGGAGAGTACACGTACGAAGAACGAAGCCCACGTCGAACGGCCAGCGCAGCGCAAAAAGGCCAAACTGCTGCTGCCCCAACACCCCCCACTACCCCGCAATAACTCCCCGCGCACTGTTGCCGCCTCCACCGCTCGTCCTCGGCATCGGCACGGTGCCTTCACTCTCCCACTCACGGTGTCTCGCTCGCTCGCTCACTCACCGATGGCGACTCCTCGCTCCCCATTCCTCCTCCTCGGCCTCGCGCTGGTGGCGCTGACGGCGCCGGCGCTACTGCGAGCAGATGGCGGCGGCGAGGAGGCGCGGAAGACGTACATCTTCCGCGTGGACCACGGCGCCAAGCCGTCCGTGTTCCCCACCCACGCGCACTGGTACGCCTCCGCCGCCTTCGCCTCAGCGGCGCCCGGGGCCGCCCCGCTGCAGCCGCTCCACGTCTACGGCACCGTCTTCCACGGCTTCTCTGCGTCCATGCCGGCGTCCCGCGCCGAGGAGCTGCGGCGCCACCCGGCCGTGCTCGCCGCGTTCGAGGACCGGGTCCGCCCGCTGCACACCACCCGGTCGCCGCAGTTCATGGGCCTCCGCGCGCGCCTCGGCCTCTGGTCCCTCGCCGACTACGGCTCCGACGTCATCGTCGGGGTACTCGACACCGGCGTCTGGCCCGAGCGGCGCAGCCTGTCGGACAGGAACCTGCCGCCCGTCCCCGCGCGCTGGCGCGGCGGCTGCGACGCCGGGCCGGGGTTCCCGGCCTCGTCCTGCAACAGGAAGCTGGTCGGTGCGCGGTTCTTCTCGCAGGGCCACGGCGCGCACTTCGGCGCCGCGGCCGTCGCGTCCAACGGCTCCGTCGAGTTCATGTCGCCCCGTGACGCGGACGGCCACGGCTCGCACACCGCCACGACCGCCGCGGGCAGCGTCGCGTACGACGCCAGCATGGAAGGCTACGCGTCCGGGGTCGCCAAGGGCGTCGCGCCAAAGGCCAGGGTGGCCGCCTACAAGGTCTGCTGGAAGGGCGCCGGCTGCATGGACTCCGATATCCTCGCGGGCTTCGACCGCGCCGTCGCCGATGGCGTCGACGTCATCTCCGTTTCAATCGGCGGCGGCAGCGGTGTCACGGCTCCGTTCTACCTCGACCCGATCGCGATCGGCGCGTACGGTGCAGTCTCCCGGGGAGTGTTCGTGGCCACCTCTGCCGGAAACGAAGGGCCGACCTCCATGTCAGTGACCAACCTCGCCCCGTGGCTAGCCACCGTTGGCGCCGGCACCATCGACCGTAATTTCCCCGCGGAAATCGTGCTGGGCGACGGCAGACGCTTGTCAGGTGTGTCCCTGTACTCCGGGAAGCCTCTGGCCAATTCATCTCTGCCTCTGTACTACCCCGGGAGGACTGGCGGGCTCTCCGCTTCGCTGTGCATGGAGAACTCCATCGACCCTTCACTGGTGAAAGGCAAGATCGTCGTCTGCGACCGCGGCAGCAGCCCGCGCGTGGCCAAGGGAATGGTCGTCAAGGAAGCTGGTGGCGCGGCGATGGTTCTTACTAATGGAGAGGCCAACGGCGAGGGGCTGGTTGGAGACGCCCACGTCCTCCCTGCTTGCGCGGTGGGCGAGAAGGAGGGCGACGCGGTCAAAGCGTATGCTGCAAACGCCTCCAACCCGACGGCGACAATTAGCTTCGGGGGCACGGTCGTCGGCGTCAAGCCGGCACCCGTGGTGGCCTCCTTCTCGGCGCGTGGACCCAACGGGCTCGTCCCGGAAATTCTCAAGCCGGACTTCATCGCGCCGGGCGTCAACATCCTCGCCGCGTGGACGGGCGCCACGGGCCCGACCGGCCTGGAGGGCGATACCCGCCGCACGGAGTTCAACATCCTGTCCGGGACGTCCATGGCGTGCCCGCACGCGAGCGGCGCCGCCGCGCTGCTGATGTCCGCGCACCCCGGGTGGTCGCCAGCGGCGATACGGTCCGCGCTGATGACCACGGCGATCGTGACCGACAACCGCGGCGGGCCCGTGGGCGACGAGGCGGAGCCCGGGCGCGGCGCGACGCCGTTCGACTACGGCGCCGGGCACATCACCATGGGCAAGGCCCTGGACCCCGGCCTGGTGTACGACGCCGGGGAGGACGACTACGTCGCGTTCATGTGCAGCATCGGGTACGAGCCGAACGCGATCGAGGTGGTGACGCATAAGCCCGTGACGTGCCCCGCGGCCGCCGCGACGAGCAGGGCCAACGGCGGCAGCCCCTCGGCTCCGACCTCAACTACCCGTCCATCTCCGTGGTGCTCCGCGGCGGCAACCAGTCCAGGACGGTGACCCGCACGGTCACCAACGTCGGCGCCCAAGCTTCGGCGACGTACACGGCGCGCGTGCAGATGGCGTCTACCGGCGCCGGCGTGACAGTATCCGTGAAGCCGCAGAAGCTCGTCTTCTCCCCGGGCGCCAAGAAGCAGAGCTTCGCGGTGACGGTGACCGCGCCGTCCGCTCCGGCCGCAGCAGCGCCGGTGTACGGGTTCCTCGTCTGGTCGGACGGCGGCGGGCACGACGTGCGGAGCCCCATTGTGGTGACGTGGCTGCAGCCCATGTGACTATCAGGTGGGGACAACGCCACGGCCTGTGCAGCGGGCCCTGGGACTGCCTAGGATGGCAGCAGGAGTCAAGGCGCAGTGGGCCAGTAACGGTAAAGTCGTGAGGTCGGGACTGCGCCATTAAAGGTGGCAGCGGTCGGTACTTTATATGTTGGGTGGGTCCTGCACGCTCGCTCTGCAGAATTTGATTAGCCGGGGCATGCTGTGACAGTATGGGCTATCCGGGTATAGTGTGACTACTGGTAGTGAGTGAGTGACAGTGGTGTGTGAAAAACTGAAAACTCTGGTGTTTTTACCTGCTTTGTTTGTGTCTGGAGGCAACAGTCCTTGCCTGCCACTGGAAAACAGGACACAGGAGCAACGGAAAGAAACGGAGCAACAAGACAAAGCTATGTTATGAAACGTTACGCTGAGATTGTGAGAGAAAAATGTTGTTCCGTGGTAGAAAAATAGCTAAACGTGGCTGCACGATCTCGTGACCTGATAAAGTTCGTTGGATGCTCTTATACAAATGGGTGGTGGGTCCAACTCGGTATTCGCGTATTCGTTAGATGTTCTTATACAAATCGGTGGTGGGTCCAACTCGGTATTCGCGTATTCGATACTTTTGGGTCGTTTTCCACGAGCACTTTACCCAGCAGCACCAACAACGAGGAAAGCTGGCTTGAGCATATTGACGCTTCTCGAGCTGTGCGGGGTCATCAGGCGTTCGGCCCACGTACGTAGACGCTCCATTGCTCCTACTTGAGCGTCAATCTAACTGATGAAGTAGCGTTGCTGTGCATCAATGATCAATAGCCTCCTGGATTAAAGAAAATATCAATAGCCAATAATGGGTCACGCTGTCTTGACGGTGACACCTACGAGGCCACGAGTCCTTAGACAGAGCTCTCCACTGGCACCGTGCGGGTTGGCAATTCGCTAGTAGAGCTTGGATGATAATTTCGCCTCCTATCCGTTACATACCACTGCCATATCACTTAGAGGTAATAATATAGCCTGAAATATGTTGCCTGTTAAGTTGGCTTGGAGGTTAACTATGTTAAACATACAAGTATTTAATATCTGCATATGCATATATTTTCTGTGCTCAGCACCTTTGTGGTCAACATCAACCAATGTAATAATATGAAAATTGAAAACGATACAAAGTTTGGCCTACCAGAAGAAATCACACTTCCCACGAAAGATTTTGAACATTTTTGTCTTTATAATGTAAAAATGTAACAGTAACAATTCCTTTCCAAATATATGGCTTATCAAAAGATGTGTGTAACTAATTTGTTCTAAATACACTAGCAGCAGCGCTGTGGGCTGTAGCAGGCTGACGGTCTGTCACAACTCACAAGGTACACAAGAAAAACAGGATATCAAGCCACCATCAAACTTGCGTATGCAAGCTAAGATAACGAACGTATAAAATGATTGTTTTGACTCCAAGTATTCTACATTTCTACTTCAAAATCCAATCAAGCACAGGCACTCTGACGGTACCCAGTAGTCCATGTGTGATCAGTGACGCCGAGTTCCAACGACCGGCTTCAACTCCACCGTAGTCCGTACTCGTCGTTGCAGTCTTCACCGGCAGTGGAGTCTCCGTAGACGCTAGTGCAGCATGGAGGTCCAATTTGGCACGAGGAAGGTAGGGTGGAGCATGTCAAACCAACTGAAGAAGTAGCAAATCTGGATGTTGATCCTTCTCACCACTATGATTCTGATACCCTCCCAGGGTATGACAGTCCAAACTCAGTAGGTTCTAATCGCAAACCAGAAGAAAAGGAGAAGAAAGGGAAGCGAGTTAAGCGAGGTGATGACATGGTTCATGAAATTGCCGGGTCCATGCAGGCTATGTCGGAAACAATGCGCTTTACTCATGTCAGTGATCCAAACGAGAGTATTTACAAAGCCATCGATAACATGGAAGGATATCCTTGGCTGGTACGCCTTGATGTGCAGACTTATCTTGCTGAAAATCGCCACATTGCTAGCATGTTGAAGGGGCGGCCGGAGGAAGCTGTCAAGCAATGGGTGGCACGATGGGTCCGGGATCGCCTATCCTGTGTGAAATCTGCTGATGACACATTAGTATTTATAGTAGTGCGTAACTCTATACGGCAACTTGCATATTTTGGCCTTATATATATATATAGTAAACTGCATATTTTGGTAGTAGTATGAAACTGAATCTTGGGGTACTGTGTACTTTGGCCATATGGATAGCCGATGACGTATTTTGGACATATAAAACTGTATATGGCATGTAGTGTATTTTGACCTTACCAGACTATAAATAGCAGGTTTGTCATTGCTAAAGACTGCAATGGACTTTGTAATGTCGTTTCATTTGAAATGTTCTTGTACTGTTGGCTCTTGAAGTAGTAACTTTGCAAATGTTCAGTCGCAAAGCTTAAATGTTCTTGTAGTAGATGGATGGCGGTAAAGTGCTGAGTGGCATGTATTTGGGTAAGGGTTCCAAACAAGCAGGACAATAACCTTGCCAGCAAAAGCAAGTCTGTAGCAACGCTACCAAACAGCTTGCCGAGTAATCTTGCTCATCCTGACAAAACTACCAAACACCCTCTTGCCACAGCTAAACCTTGCCTAGCAAGGTGTTTTGCCCATCCAAGCAAGGCAAGATGCTAGTGACAGAACCAAGCAGATCCATAGTTCCTAAGGGGTTGAAGGGAACCCCTACTTATAGTGTTGCATCTCTTGAACTGTGACATACAGCTTATTCATTCCATATTGTTCTAAAAAAATATCCATACTAAAAAATTTTCCTCATTTTATCTGGTTTCTAGATATTTGTTTTGCCATGTAAATATCTGGCTCTAGGATTGTCGGTGTTTTCGGACCACCGACGAGTAAATTTGTATTTGCGCGTCTGGCTCGGATGGTATGCTCGGAGGACACAAGAGTTTATACTGGTTCGGACGGAACGTCCCTACGTCCAGTTTGCTGCTACTCGTGTTACCGGCACTTGGTTTGCAGTAGGGGTTACAAACAGACGAGAGAGGGAGAAGATCCCAAGTCTCTGGTGGAAGGATTGAACGGGTGCTGAGAGCTCACTTGCCGCTCAGGCGTGTGCTCGTGTCGTGTTCTTGTGTTCCCCTCCCCGGTAGGGGTGCTCTGCTTTCCCTTTTATAGGCGAAGGGAAAGCGCGGGTTACAGAGGAGGAAAAGGAAGAAGAACGAGAGAGAAGAAGGCTTCCAGGGTTGTCGGGTCCTTCTTCTCCTTAATGTGGGTCTCGCCGATCCCGTAGATGTCAATAGGGACGGCTCCATATCGCGGCCCTGTTCGTCACTAACGCCATGCGTAGGCGTCATCTGCCGATCATGGCGTTCCACTCCGTCCCGCCGGACGTCGTGGTGAACTGACGCGCCTGTCAGCGTCCGTACGAGGATTAAGTAGAACAGCACCGACACGTCCGACACTGTTCTTGATGTGAATCCCCAGGTATGGCCCATCATGGCCACGGGTTACATCGAGGTGTGCCAGCCTCTTCCCTGGCATCAGAGTTTTGACCTAGACCCATACGCTTGGACCTGGAGTGGTTGGCGGCGGTATGGGTCCCCGTCGGACGAGACGGAGCCCGTGTCCTCGAGGTCGGGCGAGACGAAGCCAGCGACCTTGGGCGAGACGGAGCCCGAGGTCGGGCGAGACGAAAACCGCACCCAAGGGGTCGGGCGAGACGGAGCTCGCGGCCTTGAGGTCGGGCAAGACGGAGCCCACGTCCTCGAGGTCGGGCGAGACAGAGCTCGCGGCATTGGGATCGGGCGAGACCTTTTAATATGTCTCGAGCCATCCGGGGAAGTCAGCGTGGGCGCTAACTTTCAAGGTAAATGACTTCTGGTATGCAATCTCCAAACTCTTGTCGACACAACTTATTCCTCACTACAGACTTCTATGCCGCGGAGCTGCAGGATGCCGCCCTCTCCTCTAATGCCCCCATCATCCTAAACTGCTTCAGTGGTGCTGACACTCGTGGCGTTGGAGCGTTTACGTGTGGGTCGTGTTTCGTTTCGACGGTTTTTGTGTCAGGCCGTGCCACGCAGGCCTATTCCTTGAGAAGTCTGTAAGGCAGAATAAAGTATGGCCCAACAGCCATCCGATTTCGCTGGATTGGTGCGGCCGTGCGGGGCTGCGGGCAACACCACTTCGCAGTTGGCACGCAGCAGGTGGCCGGTTTCCGTTTGGCCCACCCACAAAAGCCTCTTGAGCATAGCAGCGCGAGCTGCTTTCGGCCTTTTTTGGGAACCACCGCGAGCTCCATTAAGAGGATGCAATCTTACGTGGGCCGAAATGCAGCCCACTACGCGTCCTTTGCGATCTGCCCTTGCCCTGTCCTGGGTTCCCGTTCCCGAATTGTCAATGCTGGTGCGTCGAACGAACCGTCCCCTGCTGGTCGGCGCGAACTCTGCGTCTCTGCCTGCGTTTCCGTGCCGTCGTTGGCAGGTCCATCTTGGCAGGCTGCAGGCATAGGAGTACGACGGAGACCACAGACTCGCCTCAACTCTCCGTCGCCGTGATGCCAAGGTACGAAAGAGAAGTTTGCTGTGCGTGCCCATGACCAACGAGTAGAACGTGTGGTTTCGTTTTCAGTTCGCTGAGCAGCGAGCATTAGCAGCAAGTTTCTTCGTTACATTCCCCTGGGCCTAGCTAAACTAACTGCATTTTCCATGAAGTGACGAGCCCCCCGGCAGGCTGCTAATTAAAATCTGCCGACCGCGCGCGAGGAGTGGCACAGGACAGTGGCACTATTTCGTCGGACGGCGCGGCACGAGCAAGAGGAGGAGGCGCCACAGCCACCAGCACCAGCCGAGGCCGGAACGGTGGGCAGCGGGGCCGGCATAAAAAAGCTGCCGCCAGCCACGGTCCGCGAGGTCCTTTTCGCTTGTGATTTGTGAACCTGCTGCGCTGCCGAGCTAGTATTCGTTACGTAGCTCATCGCGCAACTTGACCAGGATGTTGTGGACGTGATGCAATCGTCGGCGCTCAGC